CTCTGAAGGCTGGCAGCCCTGGGCCTTCTTGATAGTTGAGTGACTTATTAGGTGTCCCTTTCAGCCACTTAATTGATTGGCTTTCAACCAAATTGCTAAATAACTCTGAGCCTCTGTTTCATCATCTGTAAAATGTAGGTAATAATATCTACTTTGCCCCATTGCTGTACGGATTAAAAATAAAATAAAGGGACATGGCCATAATAGATGTCCATTAAAATATAATCACCACCGACTCGGTATCCCCTACACCTCTAGTTGAGATCACTTCACCAGCAAGAACAGGGAATCAGGGGGGCGGGGGGCAGGTGGCAGGAGTGGGGATACCCAGGGCACAGTCGGGCAGGTTGGCCTGTTTCTTCTGGGCAGCTCTTTGGCCTCAGCCAGATGATGCTGGCAGAAAGGTGTCCCCTGTCTTCCAGGAATCAGTCACCACTGTGTGCTGGGGAGAGAGATATGCATATTTAGGAACTGCCATATCTGTTGTACCATCAGGATAAACTCTCTTGTCATGGGAAAACAAGTACAGACTAGGGGGTATGGTTGGCAATGAAGACTCTGAGTTTTCTCCAGGCCAAATTTTAAAGGTCAAAACAAGAGCCTGGTTTGCTTCCTCTTATACAGAGTTGACCATGATGGCTGGGTCCCTGTAGTCAACATTGAGTGACTGAAGGCCCTGCCCTGCCTCAGGGCACTGGGCATCTGAGCACACAGGTTTTGTTGGCACATGGGTTCTGCTGCCTGGGTAGATTTCACCCAGGTCTAGAATTGTGGGATTTAAGGTAGCTCACCTGCCTCCTCCTGGCTAAGTAGGGAGGTGGCTCCTGGCTTAGGTGGCTGCAGGAAGCCCCTTCTTCATTATTCGGCCACTGGAGTCCTCATGAGAGCAGGGCTGGGCCACACTCCTCTCAGGATCCCACGCTTCCCTGATGGAGCCAGTGCCTCTCAGGAGCCAGACCCACCTGCGCCCTGACTTTGAGCACAGCCGCTTTACAAGCTCTGTGCCAGAAGTCTTTTGCTTTCAAAGGTGGGTGATTGTAATCCTGGGCAGGGAGTCTGACCTGACGGGACAGTGCAGGGCCCTGAGACCCTGCTGCAGTGTAGACACAAGAGGCTAGTCCTTAGGCGGCAGCTCCGTGGAAGACAAGGTCGTCCTTCTACATGACCAGAGCCAATGCAGTGTCTTTCTCAAGGTGCTATCGAGGTGCCCAGACACAGGTCATGGGCTGCCTACTTTAAAGCATCATTTGATGTGACAAAATCAAATGCTAGTCACAAGTGTAGACAGCTCCTTAGGATTTTTTATGTCCCAGTGACTGGAGTACATAGGGCATGGGGGTGGGGGACTGAACAAGAGAGAAGAATGCTGAGCTGGGTCAAGGCCCAGCCAAGGACTTGGGACTTTCTTCTGTATGCCGTAGGGAGGGTTTGGGGGTTGGGGAATGATGTGTTTTAGGAAGCCCATGCTGATAGCTGTAAAAGCAATCAGGCTTCATCCTGAGGTGACATCATCAGGCATCATGTCCCAGTGGGCACCCTTCCCCTCACATGGATCTCTCTGGAAACAACTTATACCAGATCTAAGTCACTCAGCTTTCCTGCAGAGCTGGGAGGAGAACTGCATTCTCTGGGCAGTATAGTGTCAAGGTTAGAGACACCAATTCTGGAGCCTGACTGCCTGGGTTCCAATCCTGCGTCTTTCACTTACCTGTTGTGGAACCTTGAGCAATTTACATAACCTCTCTGTGCCTCAGTTTCCTAATCTGTAAATGAACATGATAAAAATAGGTCCTCCCTCACAGGACTGATGAGAAGATTAAATGAGTAAAACGTGTAAACATGCATAAAGCACTTAGAACAATACCTGGCTCTGAGGGAGTTCTGCTGTTATTAGTTATGTTATTAGTAATACCTCAGCTCCAGCATTGTCCCCCCGACCACTGCTTTCCTGACCCGTGACCAGAACTTCCCTTATGTCCCCTCTGATGAGCAGTATGAAGAGCGGTTTCTGCAGGAAGAAACCGTGTCCCAGCGGATCAACTCCATCGAGCTCCTGCAGACACGACCCCTGGCTCCGCCCGAGGTGGTGAAGCCACAGCGGCCCCTGCAGAGGCAGGTACACCTGAGGGGCCGGCCAGCCTCCAAGCCCACCATCATCCGGGGCATCACCTACTATAAAGCCAAAGTCCCTGAGGAAGAGAATGACATGGAAGAGCAGCGTGAGTTGGGGTCAGCAGGGCTGCCCCAGAGGCAGGGCCGGGGGTGGGAGTGAGCATTTGGACCATGTGGAAATGGACTTACCGGGAGGCACACACCCCTTCCACGGTCTGATTAGTGCTGCAGCCCCACCCTGCAGTTACAGGTTATCCACAGTTCTTGCCACATTTCCTCGCAACTTGCAGAGTGGCCTTGGTAAGTCACTTCACTTCTCTGGGCTTACAGAATACTGCGTGGCAGAGCATGGCTGAGCTGCCAGGGGCTTCATTGCTCTCCAGTCCAGTTGTCCCTATTTGCAGATGAGGAAAGCAAGGCTTAGGGGGGATGCCTTGCTCAGAGCCACATGGTGGGCTTCTGCTTGTTCCTCCCTCCAGGGGCCCTGAGCTGCTTCTCTGAGTCTCCTGTACCTCCCTTGTGATGTCCATACTTCTTACCTTTTCCCAGAAATAGATTATCCTTTTCCCCATCATCTTTATCTTGTTTCCTTAACACATTCTCCTTGCCACCTGCCTCCTCCTCTTGTCTTCTGTCTTTTCCTTGTCCAGACCCCCAGAGGGTCCCCAGCCTGCTCTCCCCCAACCTTGCCTGAGCCAGTTCCTTTCCCTGTCAGGTCTAAAGCTTCAGTCCCCGACGCGTCTTCCTGCTTCTGCCTGTGCCTCTGTCCATTCTGTTCTCTAGCCAGTGGCTGGCATAATCGTTTTGCCCATTTTGCAGTGTGTTTGTCTCTTTTGTGTTATTGATTTTGGGGAGTTTTTTTTACATATTGCAGATACAAGTCCTTTGTCGTCATATGCATTGTGAACATTTTCTCCCTGCCTGTGGCTTGCATTTGCACTTCCTTAATGTTGTTTTTGATGAGCACACGAAGTCCATTTTATTGCTTATTTCTTTCATGGTGAGAGGTCTCTATCCTCTGTGAGAAGTCTTTGCCTCCCTATATTCCATCTCTGCTCAAAACCCTGCAGCCTCCCCCATTTCACTCAGAATAAAAAGAGAAGTCCGTGCACAGCCCTAGGCTGCGCATGACTCGGCTCCTGTTCTCTCTCTGACCTCACCTCCTGTCACTGTCCCTCCCACCCTCTGCTCCGGCCTCACTGGCCACACTGCTGCTCCTCAGCCTCAGCAGGCATGTTCCGGCCTCAGGGTCTCTGCGCTGCTGTTCTGTCCCCCTCGAGCTCTCTCCACTCCCATAGCTGCTTGGCTAGCTCCCTGCCTCCTTCAGGCCCCTGCTCATTTCTCTGTCTCACTGAGTCCCATCCTGACCACTTTATCCATTACGGCAGGTTTCCTTTCCTTCCCAGCCTTCTTGACCCTGCTTACCCTGCTCTACTGTTTTCCCTTAGCACCTTCAAACGTACAATCTGTCTATTGCTTATGTCTCCACCGTTAGATAGAAGCTCCGTGAGGTCAAGGATCTTTGTTTTGCTTACAGTTGTTGTACATGTTCCTCTACTGTTTTCCCTTAGCACCTTCAAACGTACAATCTGTCTATTGCTTATGTCTCCACCATTAGATAGAAGCTCCGTGAGGTCAAGGATCTTTGTTTTGCTTACAGTTGTTGTACATGTTCCACAAACATTTGTTGTATGAACAGACTGGATGACTAATGTCCTTCCAGCCATCAGGGGTCATAGCCAAGACCGCGCATCCTAGCAGGGAGCCCTGCGTCCTGGATGCAGGAGAGCAGCAGTCTGTTCAGAGAGAGCCTCCGGGAAGTACAATGTCCTTCTGTCTGTGCTCATTTTCACCTTCTTCTTCTAAAATCCCAGCTGGGTTCCATCTCTAAATGAGGCCGTTATGTTGACGGAAGGAGGCCTCTTATTAATCTGCCAATTACCACACGCTCTTGACCATCTAAAGGTTGTTCCTCTCCCCACGCCACAAATGGAACTTGTGTTTGTTTCACAGAAGACGAGTTTTTCAGTGGTGACAATGGAGTGGATTTGCTGATTGAAGATCAGCTCCTGAGACACAATGACCTGCTGATGAGTGCCACACGGAGGCCAGCAGACACTCGTCATGGCACTGCTGTGACAACTGACCCGAGCACTCAGACCGCACCTTTCTCCTCAGCACTGCCGCAGGCCTCCTCCACAGCTCCCGGCGTCACTGACCCTGCTCTCTATACCTCAGCTGGACAGCTCTCAACAGCATTCCAAACCACCACAGTGCTTCCAGATCCCCCAGGGGATACGGTCCTTCAACCTTCTACTCAGATACCAGCCACCACTGTGGCCCACACAGCTACCCAGCACCCTCTGGCCTCAGCCTCTGAAGCAGTGACTCCTGGGGATGCATTTGTGGAAACTACACACCAGGCCCCAGCACCGCCCACCACAGTCAGGACAGACTCACTGGGGAAAGACGCTACTGCTGGGCAGGGTACAACCCCTGCCAGCCCCACCCTGAGCCCTGAAGAGGAAGATGACATCAGGAATGTCATAGGTGAGTTCATTCTACCTGGCCTTGGTCTGTGGGTCAGTTCAGGTGAAAGGTTGAGCCAGGAAATAGGTTGAAAGGAAAGAGAGGTGAGGGAGTCAAAGTTCTTCATAAAGAAAAGCAAGTGGGGATACGTCTTTGGCCAGTGATTAGTTTTAACAGCTAGAGTTGACGTATTCAAAGCATGCCAGTGACAAGAACGGGAATCTCCTTTCTAAAATACATATAAATCAATGGAGCCAAGATCTCACCTTTATTAGTCAGTTTTATAAACATTCGTAGAGCACTTTCTGTATACTAGGCTTTGTGATGGGTATTGAGGTCTCTGGTGATGACTAAGTTAAGTTCTCTCCAGTCAGTTTACCAGGCCATGAAATGACAAAGGATTCCTCCTGGGGGGAAAGTCCCAGAATCATAGCAGAGTGGGAGCAGGGGAGTAACCAGTGCAACGGGCTCCAGTGCAAAATCCCATGAGCCCCAGCCCTGGGGAGCATGGAAACATCGTGGCATAGTGTGGCTAATGCTGTCACAGAGGGATGAGAAACGGAGAAAGAAGGAGCACCAGCTTGGCCTGGTTGCTAGGAAGGCTGGGGAAGCTTTTCTAAGGTGGTATCATTTGAGCTGGGTTTTGAAGGATGAATAGGAGTTTTCTAAGCAGAGACAGGAAGCCTTCTGACTGTTAGGTTCAAAGGAGCAAGGTTTGTTCCAGAAGCATGAAGAACGCAGCCCTATTCTGTGTGTGGGAGCTCCGTGGCCACAAGATGACTCAGGACAGTGAAACATGAGTGGGGAGAGGGAAAGAGAACTAGGAAAGGAAAATGGGAGCTAGTTCTCTTCCCAAAAGAGCTAAACTGAAGATTAAGTCACCACTGATAGTGACTGAGAAATGACACTATTGAATAATAATTTCATCAAAATACTTGTTAAAAAATACGCTTTTGATTTGACTCTTAGCTTCTGGTTTGCCTTATACGTATCTTTCCCTTCTTGCCATTTTCCGTTCCCTTGGCAGCCTCATTCCCAATCCCTCCTCAGAATGAGGTGCCAGCTGCTGCCAGAGACGAGGTGGTGGGAGGAGCACCTGCTGCTGGGAGCCAAGCTCCTGCGCCACAGCCTGGTCTCTGCCATTGGTATCTGTGTGATGTTGGCCAAATCCCTGCCCCTCTCTGGGTCTCAGTTGAAAGTAGAAATTTGCTAAGGACCATTTCCTCCATTATGTTCTATGGTTTTCTGCAGGAAGTTTAGCAGGCCATGATAGGGCAAGGGATTTCACTGGGAGAAAATCCCAGAATAATGGCCAAATGGGAGCAGGGAAATAGTTAGTAAAAATGGATTCTGGGGCAAAAATCTCATGAACTCTGGCCTGGAAAATGCTAAGCAAAAAGGCAGTTATTGGGCCTCAGAGGTTGGTGTGGGAGCGGGAGAGAGTGTTTTTCTTTTTCTTCCATGGTGGGAGCAAACTAACCAGAGAGAAGACGACCGGCTCCTCACTGCCTGAATTATCAGTCTTCTGAAGCTATGGGTCCTGTTTAATTTCCGCAGAATGCTCTGGGGTCTGAGCAGAGGCTCCCCCACTCACACCAGCTCTGAGGAGAAGACGACCGGCTCCTCACTGCCTGAATTATCAGTCTTCTGAAGCTATGGGTCCTGCTTAATTTCCGCAGAATGCTCTGGGGTCTGAGCAGAGGCTCCCCCACTCACACCAGCTCTGAGCAACCTGGACTTTGTGCTCTTGGTACCACAGTCCCTGAGCCCAGCACCCCACCTCCCCCTCTGCCATGGGAATGAGCTCCCCTGGACCCCCATACCTCCACCACTTCAGCTTAGTGTCACCCTTGCGTGGGAGGAAAAGCTCCTCCAGATATTTAGAAATCTGTCCCCCACAAACCCTCCCCACGTAGCTAGAACACTAACAGTGAAGACGGGCTGCAGCCAGGACCCGCACACCTTGTCTGTCTTCAGGCGATGGCCAGGCTGGGAGCCTTCTCCCTCGGTGACTTCCTGGCCAGGCGTGGAGTTCTCCACCTCCAGCCGGGGTCCCAGCACCTCTTCCCCTGGGTTTTGCTACCAGCAGGCTTTTCTAGCATAACTCCTGAGATGTACCTTTCTGGGGTTCTTAGGACTCTGCCCCCCTGCAGTAACCTGACTGAGGTGCTGATGTGCAGACAGAGCAACCCTGTGTCCCGGCAGCCATTTACCTAGTGGTGGGAGATGGGTGACAGGGTGTAATTTCTCCTGTGGTCAGTATTCTATACAGCTAGACAAACATCGTCATGCAGAGGATGTAAGGTTCACTTAAAAACTCACCTCAGGGTTTTTTAGAAGAGCTGGGTTTCTTGCCTCTTGTGTCTTCTGCAGAAAAAACATGCATGTGGACACAGATGTGGTGTTGTCTTCAGATACCAAGGGGTAAAAAGAGAGGGTGGCACATTGAAGAAGAACGGTTTGGCTGTTCCATTGGTGTGGAATTCTGACAAGTTTGTTTTGAGGAATCATTTTTAGTTGTTCATTGCTGTCAAGTGCCTCCCTGTGGCTGCTGTTAGTGTGGATGAGATTTTATTACTGGAACCTTCTCTGCAGACCCCCTAACTTGCCTGCACCTGGCTGAGTAAGACTCTCATGTGCTGACATCTCCCAGTCATCAGTTAAATAAAAATCATTTGGCTGAAACAGACACAGGCCACTGATTTGCGACCTGGGAAGGGTTGTTTCTGTTTGATTTCTGGTAATTTTGATTTTTGAGCTATTTAAGATGTAGTTTTAAACAGGGCTGCTTTTAAAAGGAATTTCTTATCCCAGGGTTTCCAAACCTGATTTTGTGATGTCCTAAGATGGCTACCATTATCCTCAGGGGAGTTATAAAATTCCCAGAAAAATTCCCAAAACAAGTAAATTAGAATTTATTTTTGGTTGTGCAAACAAGCACTTGGCTGTAGCGTAGGTCTAGGTCAAGGAGCGGAAAGGTCCCGTCAGTGATGGGAGCCGGGGCCTGGGAAGAGATTGATCACCCTCTGAGGTGGCACTTCTACTCCAGCAGCCCCGGCTTGGGGAGGGCTTCTCAGGCTACTGCCGAGGGATAAAACAGTTGTGTCGCGTGGCCAAGGCTTTGCAGATTCCCAGACTTTCACAACTACAATTCCTGATGTGTTTTTTAGAAGGGGCTGGCTTGGGGCAGGGGTGGGGGGTGGGAAGAGCAGACAAAGAGGGCAGTCAGTTTATGACAATACCAGAGAGCCTGTCTCATATTTGAATCTAGAAAATATCATGATCTGTAAAGAATGTCTCTCCCACAAAGCATGTGACCTTAACAACCCCCGAGGCTTGGCTTTGCCACTCTGGCTGTGGTGTGATGGCCATTCACGTCAGGGAGCCTGGTCTAGGATAGTGCCCAGACTCAGTGGCCCTAAGTCACTTGACAGGCAGCTCCCTTCCCCCAACCCCATGGGCACACTCTGTTCTCGGTCTCTGCCGACTCCCCTAGCCTAGCCCCTCAAACCACTGGCAACTTCAGTTATCTTGTAACATGGGGCCTCTGGCCCTAGAAATAAAAACATGAAGTGGAGCTGTTCCTTGTAAGCGGATAGGGAAAAAGTCCAAGCCTCTCCACAAGGCTAAAGAGTCCACTTGTAATTCATTCGGCACTGCACTGTGCTAGGCTGCTAAGATCCAGAGTGAGCAAGATGTGGTCACTCCACAGAGGGGCATTTGAGTTTGAGACCTCTGAATAAAGGAAGATGGCAGGAAGTGAGATGGCGATGCAGGAGGGCTGGAGTGCCAGGACGGGGACCCTGGACTTTGCGTGGTGGCTAGAGGTGGTGAGTTATTAAGGATTCAAGCAGATGTGCATCTTGGAAAAGCAGCTTAGGGGCTACTTGTGTGGGGTAGGTTAGAAGGGGCAGAGATGAGCCAGAGAGACCAGCTGGTGTAACTGGTGTGATCAGGCAAGAGTCTAAAGGCAGTGAGGTCTAAACTAAGTCACAGAGGTGGAGGGGAAGGGGACATCAGGGATGATTCGGGTTTCTGGCTTGGTTAATGGGTGGTGTGCCATGCCCTTCTCTAGGACAGGAAATACAGGAGGAGCAGGCTGTGAACTGAAGCAAATGAATTCCAGTTTCAATCCATTAAGTTTGAGGAACCGGAGGACACCCAGGAGAAAAGCAACTAGTAGGCAGTTGGATGTACAATGCTCAGAAGCAAGACCTGGGCAGGGAGTCTTCAGTGAGAGCTGAGTTTGCCCAGTGAATGTGGGAGGAATGAGAAGAGAGGCTAAAAGGGGAGCCGTAAAGAATAACATTTGAAAGCTGGGCAGAAGAGGAGAAACCAGCCAAAGAGCTGGAGAAGGTGTGATCGAGGAGGCGGCTGGGCCCAGAGGATGGTGCATGGAAGTGCAGTGACAGGCAAGCACCTCCTGAGGCAGGGGGTTGGGCGCCAGGGGTGGTCCACAGTTTCTGACCCAAAGAGAGGCCTGACAGGAAGAGAGCACTGAGTGCATCCCTGATAGGCCGTGTGCAAGCAAGCACTTAGCTGAGGCAGCAGTCAGGAGTGTGCAGGCGTGTGAGGAGTGGGGCTGAGGAGGGTGCAGGCGTCAGGGTGACGAGGGGAGCAGATGCTCCTGAGGACTCTGCGGGGAGGCTGGCCCATAGAGTGCCACAGCGGAGGGCAGGGGAGGGCAGGGGGGCTCTTGTTTGCTGGTTTATTGTTTGAGGATGCTGAGATTCAAGCAGGTTTATATGCTGAGGGACCCTGGCAGACTTTGGAGCAGGGCCAGCTGCCTCCCGGGACTACTGAGGATGAGATGAGTTCGTAACAGTAAATGTTAGCCATCGCCATCAACAGTGGCAGCTCTGCTCTGGGGAAACCGAAGATGAGCTGCAGAGAGCAGCTGTCCTCTCTGCAGTTCCTTTGAACTGTCTCGCATCTTCCTGTCATTACCCTTGAAGAGCAGTAAGCATGCAGTTCTTCTCTCCAAGGCTGATAGTTTGCTTCCAAGGGTGGTAGTCAGGAACCGCCCCAGATTCTCAGAGCGTGGTGATGTGTCTGGACCTCATGATTTACTGACCTTCTCCCATGATTCTGTCTTCAAATGCTCTGAAACTACTCGCATCTGTGCTGCTGTTCCTGCCAGGGCTTGTCCACCCTGTGGACTGGCCTGCGCTCACTCTGTCTGAGGGTATGTGGAGATGCGTCCTGAGGTCCCAGGTATCTGGACGTCAGGCTGCAAGCTGGCACTCCCTTCTTGGTATAGAACTAAGGACACCTCCCCTGACCTGAAAAGCTGACTCCATCTGTGTTAGTTTCCTTGCCTCCAAATTGCCAAAAAACTTAGTGGCTAAACACAACAGAAATTTATTTTCTAACAGTTCTGGAGGCCAGAATTCAAAATAAGTCTTATGGGTCTAAAAACAAGGTGTCAGAGGGCTGGTTCCTTCCAGAGGCTTCAGAGGAGAATCTATTCCTTGCCTTTTCCAGCTTCTGGTGGCTGCCAGCCTTCCTTGGCTTGTGGCCACAGCACTCCGATCTCTGCTTCATCTCCACTCATCGCCGCCGCCTCTTTTGTAGTCAGATCCCCCTTTGCCTCCCTGTTATACAGACACTTGTGACTGCCTTTAGGACCCACCCAGATAATCTCCCCATCTCAAGATTCTTGACTTATCACATCTGCAAAGTTCCCTTTGCCACATAAGGTCCATTCACAGGTTCCAGGGCTCAGCCTACCACACCAGTGCAGTAGGTAGGGCATGTGTTATACTTGTTTTACTGCTGAAGAAATGAAAGCCCTGTGATATTATGAAGGCAGCACAGACTTTGGAGTCAGTGGCAGGGCCAAGACCCAGGCCAGGCCTCTGGCTCCCCGCCCAGGGCTCATCTGTAGCCCCACATTGGGGCCACCACTACAGAGCCTTGGTGCTGAGAGGACCCTGTAGGGATTTGGGGTTGTCTAGGGCAGCCCAGGACGTCAAAATTCAGATGGCTCCTGGCTTTGAGGAACCCACCTGCAGTTTCCACGTCTGGTCAGAGAGGGGGCATGGCCACGGCAGCCCTCTGACAGAAAACACCTGGCCTCGCATGGCCATTTGTGAGGTTTTGAGGCATGGGCTGGGGGTGGTATCTTGGTATTCCCGAGACAGGGAATTGGTATCCTTGCTGGGCTCCACCAAGGGAAGGGGACACAGAAAATGCCCTTGCATGGGGAGGGCATGCTAGGGCTCACCTCAGTGCAGAGGGAGCGTGGCTTCTCCACTGGCAGCCAGGGCCCCACTTAGTGCCAGGGAATGAGATATTTTCCATTTTATCTCTGCTGCCAGAGACTTCTGTTTTATTGTGTTGAACAGATGAGCTCAGTTATGGGGGAATGAGGCATTGGCAGATAGGTTCTGTTGTTTGTCTTATAGAGACTGAATCTCTCCCTGCTGTGTCAGACCAGGACCTAATAAACCTCACCCTGAGTTGCCCAAACACTGCCATCCGCACCCAACTGTAGGACCTGCTTGGAAAACAGTGCTCATCCCACTTCCACCCCCTGGCTGCCCCAGACCCAGCTGCCTGCCCCTGTCCTGCGAGCTGTAGGGCTTGGGCTTCTTCCTCAGACCACTTCAGAATGGCAGAACAGATTGGAACAGTTTGGAAATGGGGGCACCCTAGGATTTAGAGAACCCCGAATCTGGACTGTAGGCCTTTGTTACTTTTGTCCCAGGTGAGTGTCAAGAACCAATTGTTCTCATCACCGATGCTCACCTGTGCTGCCAGTCTTGATGGCAGGTGGGATGGGGTTTCTGTGGACCCAGCTGCCAGGAGGGGGTGGAGGGGGCTGAGAGGGCAGGATTCACCTTGTTCCCCACTGCCCCTCTGCTGTCCTCTTCCCATCTCCTCCATAACCCACCAGTGTGGGCACAGAGAGAGCAACATGCCCCTAGTAGTCAGGTGTGACTTCAGTTTCATTCATGGCCATGTTCAATGATAACATTGCATATAAGCATTGCAGGCTTTCAACTTGGTCTAGAACCCGGAATGGCTCTAGTGGCCTTTTAGGGCATCTCCTGGCTACTGGATCACTCCCAAGAACCACTCAGAAGCGTATCACTGAGTTTCTTTCCCATTAAGGCAGACTTGATCTTTGAAGGAGGTTCCTACAACCAGAGTAAGCTTCTTATGCTGGAACTTGGTATCCTGCCCCTGCAATTCCCCAGCAAGGGCCCTTGCATCCTGTTCCCAGTAGTGACAGGGATCTGGGCTTGAATATCCACCACTGGGTCAGGGCTGGTCCCACTGGTCACCCAGCCTCCAACAGCCTGGGTTAGCTCAGCAGCTGGTGGAGCTTGTGTTCCTGGTTACGCCCAGGTCCTCTGGGCATTTTTCATGCTGCTGTATGTTCACCCAGGGGTCAGGCCATCAGCTGAGTGCCTGCGGTGTGCCAGGTGCTGTGTGTGCTGAGTACCGAGAGAACGGATGGAAAAGCCACAGCCCCTGCTCCCTTGTGCTCATGTGCCAGTTGGGGGTGGGCACGGACGTATGTTCACCCAGGGGTCAGAGCATCTGCTGAGTGCCTGCGGTGTGCCAGGTGCTGTGTGTGCTGAGTACCGAGAGAATGGATGGAAAAGCCACAGCCCCTGCTCCCTTGTGCTCATGTGCCAGTTGGGGGTGGGCACGGAGGGACATGCTAAATGACATATCCTATAAGAGAGGTACATTCATGGGACTGTGGGAGCAGGATGGAATAGAGGAGAGGGATGGAATGGATTTCCAGAGGAGGATGTGGTATCAGAAAAGGACTTTGGATCTTTTCTGAGATCTTAGGTGCTTGAGAGAGAGGATTGAGAAGTCAGAGAACAGCAGGAAGAAATCACAGTGGCATGAAAGTGGTCCAGGGTGGGGACAGTGGATGGCTTTGCAGGAGTAGAGTGTAGGGTGGGTAAGAGGAGTAGCAGGAGATGATGCAGTGAAATGTCTGGTGTGAGGTTGGACAGGGCCGTTAGAGCCTGCTGAGGAGCTCAGACTGTAGGTAGAGGAGCCGCCAAAGGTTCAAGGACTGGGGCATTGTTAGATCATCCCAACACCTCCGTCCACTCTTCTCCACCAGGAAGATGCAAGGACACCCTTTCCACAATCACAGGCCCGACCACCCAGAACACATACGGGCGGAACGAGGGGGCCTGGATGAAGGACCCCCTGGCCAAGGACGAGAGGATTTACGTAACCAACTACTACTACGGCAACACCCTGGTAGAGTTCCGGAACCTGGAGAACTTCAAACAAGGTACATGGCATGGGTTCAGCTCAGGCGGCTCCTTCCCTTCCCCACTGTCCTGTTTTAGTCATGGCCAGGCCTCTTTGGGTGGTGATGGTAGACGAGAAAGGCAACACCTTCTTCTGATGGTGAAGGACCTTCCCTGGGAGGGCGGTCCCCCCTTCCACACTCCCTCATCTTCTCTGCTCCTCCAGCTCACCCCTCCTGGGACATGGGACAACCTCAAGTCGGGTCCAGAAGACATCCTCCCTTTCTCGTGGCCCTTGACAGTTTACAAAGCACACTCACATGTATCAGCACCCCTGGCTCCTTGAAACAGCTCAGTGAGGCAAGGGGAAATTGTTATTTCTATATGCCAGATGGGGACACTGAGGCACAGAGAGGTTAAGCAATTTGCTATTTAGCACTAGAGAGTTGCAGAGCCTCACTACAAATCCAGGCTTCCAGATCCCTAGTTAATGGCTCGGCTCCATCTCATAAGCCGCCCTGCCTCTCTGCAACACTGTCTTGAAGCCTGCTGCCCTGTCACCGCCCACAGGTCGCTGGAGCAATTCCTACAAGCTCCCGTACAGCTGGATCGGCACGGGCCACGTGGTGTACGATGGCGCCTTCTACTACAACCGGGCCTTCACCCGCAACATCATCAAGTATGACCTGAAGCAGCGCTATGTGGCTGCCTGGGCCATGCTGCACGACGTGGCCTATGAGGAGGCCACCCCCTGGAGGTGGCAGGGCCACTCGGACGTGGACTTTGCTGTGGATGAGAATGGCCTGTGGCTCATCTACCCGGCCCTGGACGACGAGGGCTTCAGCCAGGAGGTCATCGTCCTGAGCAAGCTCAATGCCGTGGACCTGAGCACACAGAAGGAGACCACGTGGCGCACAGGGCTGCGGCGAAACTTCTACGGCAATTGCTTCGTCATCTGCGGGGTGCTGTACGCAGTGGACAGCTACAACCAGCGGAACGCCAACATCTCCTATGCCTTCGACACCCACACCAACACGCAGATCATCCCCAGGCTGCTGTTTGAGAATGAATATTCCTATACTACCCAGATAGACTATAACCCCAAGGACCGCCTGCTCTACGCCTGGGACAATGGCCACCAGGTCACCTATCATGTCATCTTTGCCTACTGACACCCTTGTCTCTGCAAACAGAAGCACAGAGGGGCCACTAGCACCTTGCGTGTGCGTGTATATGTGTGCGTGTGTGCGCGTGTGTGTAGGTGGGTGTGTGTTATTAAAAAATATATATTATTTTGTATAATATTACAAATGTAAGATGACAATTTGGGTCTATTTTTTTTATGTGGATTGTAGATCAATCCATACACGTATGTGCTGGTCTCATCCTCCATGGTTTGTATTTTTGTGCAAATGAACTTCTCCTTTTGACCAGTAACCACCTTCCTTCAAGCCCTCACCCCTCCGGCTCCCAGATCTCGACTCTTGAAAAGGTTTCTTCCTCGGGGTCTTGCAGGCCGACAACTCTGGGAACAGGAGTGAAGGAGGCAAGAAAGAAGTAAGTGGCCGGAAAAAAGTTTTATGTCTTGGAGAAGTTTTAAAAAACCAGAAAAATGTTTTAAAAGAAATAAAAACTAAAAAGTTTAAGATCACCTTCAGTGCGTTTTGTTTAGCACCACTGCACCTGGCCAGGGGTCGATCCCGCTCCCGGAGGGAGCCGTGGTCTGGCGCTTCTCCGAAGTGTTCTGTTGCTGAGCCGGGAGGGGGCTTCCTCATGGGGGATTTGGAATGACCTGCGCTCTCTTTAATTTTGTGACATTGATCCCTTCATTTCTCTTCTACTGTCACATCAGCTTCCTTGCTCTGTTCTGCTTTTTTTCTGGCCATTTTACCCAAGATGCGGGAACCTGGTCATTCCTTAGTCCTGCTTCACCTGGCCTGGTGTTAGACACTGTGGGAAACAGAAAGCTGAGTGAGTGTGACCTTGTCCCCGCTCTTCCTTAAGAACCTTTCAGTCAATCTCTCTCCTCTTCTCTCTCCTCCCCATAATCCTGTCCTCTGCCTCATCCTGAACGTTCCCATTCAGCCAGGCTTTCCCTCCCACTCCCCTTCTAGGAAAGGGGCCTGGTTCTGAAACAAGGTCCCTGAGGGAAAAGCTTGTGGGACAGGAAAGAGTCACAGCCCTCCCGGTTCAGGGCTGAGCCCTGTGCGGTGCCTGCTGTCCACATGACACAAGACAGGAGACAGAGCAGCTGAAAAAGCACCATCAGGCTTCTCCTGAGGTGGTGGGAGGAGGGCAGAGCCCAGGGGTGGCGTGGAGAGATGAGCACACGATGTCACCACACCGTCCCCACCGTACCCCTCCCCCTCAGTGTAGGGAGCCACCCCCATGCCAGGCCCGACCCGTGCTGCTCACATCTCCTCATCTGGTGGGTGGCTCCCACCCCACCCGTCCACCCCCACTGCCCCATCAGTTTCCCATACTTACACATTTCCAAATATCAGATATCCAAAGGACTTCACTGTCCTAGGGCCATTTGAGGCAAATTCTCCTGAGCAAATGCAAGCACCGGTCTGGCTTGGTGGCAGTGGAAGGTTACAGAGAGGGGAATGGAATGTCTAGGGTTCAGAAGGGGTTTGTGGACGAGGGTGGTAGTAGAGCAGCCCCTGTCCAGGGGCCTTGCCTGGCCAGAGGAGGGAGCGATCGTTCCCCTGGAACCCTGGCCCTTCTGTCAGGACCTGCACTGGAAACTGCAGTGGAGACCCAAGCCCGCGCCCCGGCCAGCGCTGCTCCAGGGAGTGGGATAAGCCCCAGAGGGGTCCCTGGTGGAGAAAGGAAATGACAGCTTATGGAGATGTCATTTATGCGCTATCTGCCTATCTGGGTACTTCACAAAGTTCGTGGAAAGTTCACATTATCTTCTAATTCTATTTTTCCACGAACTTTGTGAAGTACTCTCATATTTACAGTTATCAGACTCTGCACCAGGACTTGTCCTCTGTCACCCCACCCTCCTGGGACCTCACTGCCAGATTGCCCAGAGGCCGCAGCAGCATGTTCGTCCCTTTATGACCTGTGCCTGTCCCCAGCTTAGGCTCTTTGCTGCTGTTCACACAATGCCAGGGCCTCCCAATCAGCCCATCCCTCAGCTCTCTGCATTAACCCTCCACAAAGCTGGGCTGGCCTCAGACCTTGGGGACCCAAGACGGGGTGGCCTGCATGGATGGGACTCAGGGGCCAGCAACCGGGGCAGCAGGAAGGGGCAGGGCTCAGCCAGGCCCCAGCTTTGTGTAAAATAATGAGTTCTGGGAAGCCTTACTGACAAGGCATGCGTGTGGGATCCAGGACATGGGACATCCCCTGGAAAGCCAGGATGGGGCTGAGAAGCCTCGAGGCGGGAGGGGCAGAGCAGGGACCGGACAGGTGTTATCACCTAAGCCAAAGGGAGCAACTTGGCTGGTTATCCACGGCCAGGATCTGAGGCCCGACAGGTGAGGGCAGCTCCCCACACCCTTAGTGATTCTTCAATCTAGCTTCAACCTGGGAAACTCATAGGGTCACTTTACTGAGCGGCCTCAGTTTGCCTTTTGTAGCTCCTCTGAGCCTCCTGCTGGCCCCCTCCACACCACAGGTGTCCTCACTTCCTGACCCTCTAGTTAGAGAGTCATGTCAGGGAGCTCCCGCTGCTTGGAGAGTGAAGGGCAGGGTGCAGGGGGGTGTCACAGGAACAATCTGGAGATACCAGCTGCAGCCTGTCTGGGTGAATTAATTGCCCTAGGGTGGACTGCCGGCTCAGGCCAGAGGAGGAATCCTCCCCAGGTGCCTCCCACGCGCTGGACACAGGACGAAGGGAGTGACTGCAGGCCTGAAGCCAGGTAGTCGGAAATGTTTTCCCTAAGCACATCCAGGACTTCTCCAAGCATCTGTCTCATCGTGGGATTAAACTTTGCAAACACCAAGGCTTAGCCAATGAGTTCCTCGGGGTCTGAAGAATGGAACAAGGGCCAGGTTGTGCTCTGCTGCTGCTGCTGGGCCCGAGGCACAGACCCGCCTCCTCCGCCTCACCTCTCTCCTCATCTGCAAGAGGAGGGGGCATTTCCCAGCCCCCAGACTTGCTGTCTGTGTCTTCTCCAACTTTGTAACCCTTCACCAAACTTAGGGCATTTTAATTGCTTGATACTGATGGGAAAATACACTTTCTTTCCCCTATTAAAGTACTTCCCAACAATATAATTTCAAAAGTAGAAAGAAAGTTACTAAAAATTCATCCTTCCATTCTTTTTACATTCATTTATTTATGTATACATTTATTCATTCAATAAATATTCACGGAGTCCCTACCATGGATACCAAGTAAGATGGAATCCCTGCCCTCATGGAGCTTACATTCTAGAGGGGGAGAGAGAAAAGAAATGCAGTATGTGTTATATATGACGGGTGGCAATAAAATAAAGCAGGGAGCGGATGTGGAGAGAGATGGGATGGGAAGAGTTGTTTGCATAGTCAGGTCAGAGAAAGCCTAGCCGATGAGGGGACACTGGAACAGCCACAGAGCCAGCGAGGGGCTGAGCGTGCAGACTGGAGGCCAATGGCAGGCGGACCAGTATAGGACGAGAGCCTGCCTGCCTGTGTCATCCCAGGGAGTCCGCAGGCTCCTTGAGAGGAGGGTAGAAGAACCGTCAACCAATTAGCACCTGGGCGGTGAGAAAGTTTATTCTACTGTCACTTAATATCCCAACACACCTGAACACAATCAGGCACTAGCACGTGGACCTTCTTTCAACCCACGTCCACCCAGTGAAGAGGGATGTTTGATGTACAAAGCTGTCCCCAGGGCCCAGGTCTTTGTCCTGGCTCCCCTACTTGGCATTTGTGTGTCCACGGACAAGTCACTTAACCTCTCGGAGCCTGGCTGTCATCTGTAAAAAGGACCATACTCTGCCTACAAGGAAAGTAGATTCATGGAAGATTCAAGTAAGGCAAAGCAAGTAAAAATAAGAGAAAAACACTGGCCATTATCACTGTCTAAAGCTAAATTCCTAACTTCGATTTCCCAAACCACCTCCTCCTTTGGACTTCCCCGAGGCCCTGCTGATCCCCTAGGATATAAGCACAGGGGCCATCTTTTTGCTCCCCCTCTCTGGGCCAAGACCCCAGATGCTCTCCTCCCACTGAGGCACTGTGGGAGGCAGTGGGCTTTCTGTGCAAATCCCAGCCCTGCCCCGTTCTGACTGTGTGATCTTGGACAAGACACCAAACTTCTCTGAGCTTCTCTTTAAAATGTGAGTAATGGATCTGCCTTACAGGGCTGTTTGGGGACATAATGAAACAACATCTAAAGCACAAGGCAAATGATAGGTACTCACTAGTTCATTTTAGTTTTTATTATAAAAACTTTCAATTATACAAAAAAGAAGAGAGGAAAGCATAATGAACCCCTATATTTCTTTCATCAGGACATAATAATCATTAATATTTTGCTTCATCTACTTTAAAAAAAATTTTTGCTGAATATTTTAAATTAAGAACAGCGTGACATTTTGCCCAAACACTTCAGTAGGCATCTCTTAGGACTGGCTGATTTGCTCAGTTAGTTGAGCACGGTGTTACAATACCAAGTTCAAGGGTTTGGATCCCAGTACCAGCCAGCTGCCAAAAAACAACAAAAAAGCATCTCTTAAAGACAATTTTCTACATAACCTTAACTTAAGATTAACAATGATTCCTTAAAATCAATAATACCCAACCCACATTCAATTTCCCCAATGGTCTCAAAAATATCTTTATAGTTGGGTCTTTGAACCAGGATCAATCAATGCCCACACGTTGAATTTATGGTTTTGTATCTTATGGCTCCTTTCCTCTCCTTTCCCCTCTCCTCCCCTCCTGTAAACTTTTTATTTTGGAATAATTTTAGATTTACAGAAAAGTTGCAAAGTTAGTACAGAAGGTTCCTGTACACCCGTCACCCAGTTCCCCTAATATTAACATCTTACATAATTATGGCATTAGTCAAAACTAATATTAGTAAATTACTATTAACTCAGCTCCAGTTAAGTCACTTTTAGTCTAGAACAGTTCCTTCTTGCCCTCACCCCTTTCTTTCATGTCATTGATTTCCTGAAGTAACTATGTTGGTTTTTCTGTGGAATATCATGTTGTGGATTTATCTGATTACTTTCTTCAGGTGTCATTTAACTCTTTCCTCTGCTGTGGTCTGAATGCTTGTGTCCCCCCAAAATTCATACATGGACACTTAGTCCCTAAAGTGAGGGTGTTTGTAGGTGGGGCTTTGGGAAAGGCTCTGACTTCATGATGGGATTAGTGCTTGTGATGGTTTGAATGTGTTCCCCAAATTTCATGTGTTGGAAACTTAATCCCCATATATTGATGGTATTTAGAAGGGTATTTGGAAGGTAATTAGGATTAGACAAAGTTATCAGAGTATAGCCCCCATGATGGGACTCGTGGCTTTATAAGAAGAAGAGAGCTGAGCTGACACACGCACTCTCTTGCCATGTGAAGCCATCTGCCATGTTATGATGCAAGCTAGAAGGCCCTGCTCTTGGACTTCCCAACCTCCAGAATCATAAGAAATAAATTTATTTTCTTTATAAATTACTCAGTCTCAGTGTTTTGAAAACAGACTAA